AGTGGGGTTGGAAAGTTAACACTTAGGGCTCATGTATACTGCAGCTGATAAACTAATGTTCAGGAGCTGTTCAGCGTTTTTTTCAGCAGCCCCTGAACTCTCCCGAATGTTTTCCTATGTGTCCATGTACACATCTTCGTTTACAGTTGTTTACAGGCAGTTGAGTTTACTTGTGTTCAGGAGTAGATTTTACCGGCGTGCCAAATGCTTGTAAACGCGGTTAACCGCATTTATAAGCGTTTGCGTTTAGAAGCTTTTTTTAACTGTTCCATGTCCAGATGCTGTCCGGGGCCTTTTTTCATCATCAGAAATGCATACAAACCATTTTCCATGTATTCAAATGGACCCGGTACACCAGCGCAGTCAGTTGCAGGTTTTGCGTGAAGAAATGGTAGAACATGCTGCGTTATGCTCATGATGGGGTCCATAGTGAATACAACCAGAAAAGACAGGTCATCTCAACACATACTGTTCTCTCTGCTTCTGCTCTCTATCTGTTTCTTTCAAAATGTCTGAAATAGTAAATTTTTTACAGTTTTTCAGTGCATTCTGGACATTTGGGAAGGTCTCCTGAGGTTATCTTTTAAAAACGTTTCTAAATGCAAACGCTCATAAACACTCATAAACACGGTATGCAAACATGGCTAAACTGACGTTTTTTAACCTACGTTTTCCAGCAGTCAGTTTCCATCGTTCAGAAGAGTTTTCCAAACGCCCCGTGTACATGAGCCCTAACTGACGCTGAGGGGAACTGACTAACTGCCACTGACATCACTAGTGACATTAATACAGTGATCAGTGATATCACTATACTAATGACACTGGCTGGGAAGGGGTTAACATCTCGGGCAATCAAGGGGTTAAATGTGTGCCTAACAATGTGTGTAATATATGCTGCTTTTACTAAGACATCTCTTTGTTTCTCATCCCTGCTTTGCAGGGATCATCTTTTCCATGTCCTCTAGACCTAAATAAGCAATTACCCCTTGCAATGCAGACAGAACCCAACTGCAATGGATCAATTTTACATTTCCCAGAGTTGGGCTTTAGGCTGCTTTCACTCTTGAGCATTTTGTAGCTCACAGCTTAAAGATCCAAAAATGCTCAACATTAAAAAATAAATTGTTCTCTATAGTGTCTGTTCACGCAATCTGGTCTATAAATCTGGCACTATAAAGAACAATAGATTTTTTTTTAAGTTTGAGTTTTTTTGGAGCTTCAAGCTTTGAGCTTAAAGCAACAAAAGTGTGAATGCAGCCTTAAAGTTCAAACTGACATATCTTTGTGTGTTTATAGACCTAAAAGGGCCAATAGACCCTCACAGGTGAACATGTAGGATAGGTGGTTGAAACTCCCTCCATGTCCCCCCCCTCATTGGGCGCCAAGTGTGGGTCACATGGGAGGCTTACCTTGGGGTGGGTTCTTCTGGGCTACGCTGCACACCTTGGACAAGGTCACTCGCCTTACACATGGGATACCTTTACTTATGCCGTATCCATCAATGCCCCGCGTATTGAATACAGGGAATACTCGACTTTAGGGTTGACCTCCACATTAGGGATGGCTGTACACTGTGTACACTTGAACAATAAACTGTATTCCAGTTACCTCTCTTGTCCCCATGTCAGTGTACACCTATTCTGTAACTCGTATTTAGGAGGGCCATGCAGAGCCTATGCCCAATCCACCCGTCCAGCATATCTCTGCTACCTCACTACCCCTAGCACGGGCTCCATACCTGCTCTGCATTAACTCTTCCTCTTCTGTACCTGTACACAGGCTGAGAAACTCTGCAGTGCTGATCTGCTCCCATGGCTATGGAAGGCAGCCCACTAACGGAGGGAATGCCAACAACAACTCCCTTGCTGCAAGAGGCTGTCCCACCTATCACAGGTTCACACTTCATGACACGCTGCTTGTTACACTTCCATTGCTCTTGGTAACCACATGTTTGTACTCCACACTGTGTTAACTCTTGTGTGCAGTCTTCATACCTCAATGTGCCTTACTGACCCAACTTGTAGACTAAGTGTAGAATGTGCTGGTTACTTGCATTACACATCTTTTAGTAACTTCAGACCAGGCAAGAGACAAAATTTGAAAATGTTTTACTGGAAACTCTCAGCATAATAGTTCCAAAACAAAATGCACAGTCTTTTCCTAACGTCCCTAATCCCTAACTCAGACCTGTTGCTGCCCCAGCATACCTGCATAGGATGAGAGTCCATACATGGCAGTATCCATGGTGGCAGATCTCCAGAACCGGTGTCTATAGGGCAGACTGCAAGTCCCAGCAATCCCCCTATATGGTGGATATGACAGCAGGCAGGATTGCTGTCTAAGGTGGAACTGCTACCCCCTCTCTCTCTTCTCTATAAGCAGCTGGAGATTGCATGTTGTGGCTTATCTGTGTCTTCTTTCCCATGCAGACTGTCTGTTGTGGGACCACATGGCTCAGCAACCCCTCAGCAGTTTCCTGTATAGGCCCCTCTCCCTCTAGGCAGGTGGTTGCTTGGCTGAATGGATTACATATTCAGCTGTCAGCCTCCCCTTCTCCCCATGTGGTTGAGACTGTATCTAGGCAGAGCTCGCCCCTCTTTTATTAACAGCACAGGGAGAAAGTAAGACCTCAGTAGAAAGTGCGGGATAAAGGTAAAGTGTTATTAAACCCAGGACCCTGCATTCACTATATCTGATCTCCCACAGTACACAGAACATGGAAATGCAATTATTTTAGTAAATATAAACTTCTAAATACCTTTTCTCCTCAGCAGTATATAGCGGTGTTGTGACTTCTATCAGTGTCCAGCAGAGCACTGGTTAAAGCTTGTAGGAGGAGTTTTCATTTTCCTCTGATTGTCCTATGGAGCTGCTGAACCCCTGACCCTCTGTTTGGACAGCGCTGATTGGCCCTGTGCTGATCACATGCTCTCTAGCAATACACAGCAAACGGAGCATGTACAGCTTGCCCCCAAGGCTCTGTTCTATCAGTAGATGGATTGGGGACAGTAGAAGAAGAGGAGGAGGATCAGAGAAGACAGGATCAAACAGCCTTTTTACACAATGCAGAGGATTAACCCCTTAGGTTCAACAGTGAATATAACCAGTATGCTTTACTGCATATACAGACTGATTTTACTGTGGTGGGTTTATTAGCACTTTAACTATTTTCCTCCAGGCTGGGGCAGCAGCTGTCTCACTAACCAGCTTACAAACACAACAACTAGGAAGCCTTATGTGTCTGAATTCTGTAATTTCTCATGTTAATAGGTTATGGAAGAAACCTGCAGTTGTCCAGTGGTGTAGAACGACAATTCCCAGCACACTCCTTCATGAGATCACAAGATGGCAAAAGCTGATCTAGATGATCTAGTTTATATGGCTCCTTACATTCAAATAAAACTGTGTGCAAAATTTGGAAGGGGCCGCGCCTCCTTAATTAAAATACCATTACAGCATTTCTTTAGGGATCATCATACCAGTTATAAACTTTTTTTTTTTTATTTACTGTATAAAATTGATTTTGTCTTAAATGAAATTGAACCTTGTAAAATGTTATTTTTTTCCAAACTGTAAAGCGGTGAAAAGAAGAATCACCCATAATGAGGTATTGAAACCCAGTAACTCATTTAGTTTCCTGCTCTCCAAGGAAGACATAAGTGAGCCACATGGAGCCCATAAGCAAAAACAGTATGATGCCTCCCTTCTAGGAATATAAAATGTCTAACTCTGGTGTCCTTATCTGGTGTATGTAACTACAATTAGGCCTGATCCCTGCAAGAAATGCTTTCGGTCAGATGAGGATGACTATGTATCATTTTCCTAGGGGGGCTATGAGCAGTTCTAATTATTTAAGGGCACCTAATGTCCAACACGGTGATTTCTCAACTGGTTGGAAAAATAACTGTGTGATGGGTAGCATTGCCCCATTACTGTCTATGAACCCATCACAAAGTGTTGGGTCCTGCTGGGTTTGAGGACCAGAAGACTACTTACAGTCTGCTGTTCTTGCCATGGTATGTGCTTGCCTGTGGTTATCAGTAAAGTATATGTAAACCCAAACAATGAACATCTCTTATTTTTTTAATTTTGGTCTGTTTATTATAGCAATAAAATAATTTTATGTATCTAATTGCAAAAAAAATACCTGTTGATCATACCATAAGACTAATGTTTTCCCATATCCTGTTCTCTCTGCAGTCTTATCTCAGGCAATGTTATTAGCTCTACCCAGGGGCGGACTGACCATTTGGAAACTTGGGCACTGCCCGAGGGCCCGGGGTCAATAGGGGGCCCCATGAGATGCCCCTGGTACCTTTTTCATAGGCTTTTTTGAGTTTGGGCAAGGACACAGGGGCCCCATGATCCCCTATTGCCCGGGGGCCCCATGAGTTGGCAGTTCGCCCCTGGCTCTACCCCACTCTGAGGACTATAAAACACCTCCCCCTATGTTATGGAGAAAAGGAAGAGGTGTTCTGTAATCCTAGCAGACTTGCTGTACTAGGGTCACAACTAGTGATGAGTTTTCGTACGGGCTTTGGTTTGGTCCACACTCAAGTTCATTTGAAACCGGAAGTTAGCTGCCATTGCTGGCCCAATGAGCTATGGGCAGGAGATTCCCTATTCCACAGCTGACCTACACAAAGGGGGTCATTTACTAAAACTGGAGAGTGCAAAATCCGGTGCACCTTTGCACAGAAACCAATCAGCTTCCAGGTTTTATTGCCAAAGCTTAATTGAAGAAGCTAAAGTTAGAAAAGGATTGGTTACCTTGCACAGCTGCACCAGATTCTGAGTGCTCCAGTTTTAGTAAATCTCCTCAAAAGGGGCAGGAATGCTTGTGACATCATTGAACTAAGATTGGCACATGGCTATTTCCATGTGGCCATCTTAGGTCAATGAAGTCATGAGCACCCTCACCCTTTTTGTATACATGCAGCTGCAGAGCAGGGAATCTCCCACCCCCAGCTCATTGGTCCAGCATTGACTTCTGGGTTCAGACCTAACCCAGGTCAGACTGAACCAGGGGCAAACTGACAACTCATGGGGCCCCCGGGCAATAGGGGATCATGGGGCCCCTGTGTCCTTGCCCAAACTCAAAAAAAGCCTATGAAAAAGGTACCAGGGGCATCTCATGGGGCCCCCTACTGACCCCGGGCCCTCGGGCAGTGCCCGAGTTTCCAAATGGTCAGTCTGCCCCTGGACTGAACCCAAGCTGATCCCTAGTGACAACAATGTTTTTTTTACAGATGCTGTACAGGGAGTAAGCATTGTCACCCTACCCGAGAACAGGAAGTGGCTGGCAGGATCACCCAGTGAAATTAAAGGAAAAAACTGAATAAATGTAATGTGGACACCACATCTAAGGACGGGCATGCTGCAATATATGAGGTGATTTAATTTATAATATATGAAGTGTGTCCAGACTATAATGAGAATGAAGATCCTATGCTTGAGAAGGGCTCTGTGAAGGAGAAGCTGGCCAAGGTCAATTGGGGTAGGGTCCCAGGTATTCGTTAGAACACTGATCAGTTGCACTCCAGACTTGTCAGAGTCAAGACATTTCTTTTTGTGACACCCTGTTCAAGTTCCTCGTAATAAGAAAAATGCAAGCAAGTTTGGAACAGCAGTATGCAATAAACATTTTTGTGAAATTGGGTAAAAGTGCCTCAGATGCTTTGGAAATGGTGTGGAACGCTTATGGAGAAGCTGCACTATCATCTGCACAAGTGTACTGATTGCACAAGGCCTTCAAGGAAGGATGAGAAGGTGTTGAAGATGAACAATGATCAGAACGCCCCTCTATGTCAAAAATGGAATAGAATGTGGATGCAGTGTCTGTTCTCAACCGTGAAGAAGGGTTTGAAAGGATTCCATTTTGGATAATATCCAAAAAAGCCACTTTGCAGGCTCTGAACGCCATCCCACTTGGAGATTTCCAGGGGTGCTATGAAGAATGGAAAAACCGCTGAGAGCGTTGTGTACACTCACAAGGTGCTTACTTTGAAGGAGACAATATTTAATTGTAACATTTTTCAATAAAATAATTTTTAAATATCATTCTCGTTATTTTCTGGACACACCTCATATATATCATTTGCATGCAGTGACAATGATGATGTGCAATTTGAAGTATCTAAAACAAGCAAACACCTTCTCAATGAGTGAATCTGTCAATCAGGAGTTGTAAAGAGCACTATTCTCCAGGGACTATTGAAATCAACATGCGCACACTCAGACAAATCATAATTGTAAAATCAGCAAAAATGTTTGCCAAATTTACCGGATTCACTCAAACTATTTTTCTGTTTGATCATTCTGCACTTTATTTTTGCCTTACTGAACAAACCAAATACCCTTGATGTCCACTTTGTAAGTCTCTGCTTGTAACACTCAGAGGTGACAGAGGGTAACGATAATGACTCAATCCCAGCAACTCAGTGTGACAATGGAGACTTTCAGAAGAGCTTGTCAATAGATTTAAACAAATTGCTGTTTTACTTACTTGGCCAGATCATGAGGATCAATGGCCAGGACAAAGAAATCTGCATGTCTACAAATGAATAATTCAGCATTAACAAGACAGAGAAAGGGGACTATGGCGGAGTCATCTGTCACTTCATTAGGGAAGGCTTTTCCAATGTCTCTATAGTATGCATACCAATGTTTGCCATTGTATATATATATATATATATATATATATACACACACACACATAAATATACAGACTAGTTTACTAGAGAGGTTTTCTTCTTTTTTGAATCTTAGCCCTGTCATGGGTTGTCTTCTAATGCCAGCTACATTATGATGGCATTTTATTTTTCTTTGTATTTTTTATATTTTTTTTTGGTTTTTCATTTTTTATTTTTAATACTTTTTATTTTTTTTTTAATACTTATATTTATTTATATGTATTTTATTGATATTTATATTGTTTATATTTTTGTATTATTATTATTTAGTTTATTATTATTATTTCTATTAAGTGGGCAGCGCAGTGGCTAAATGGTTAGCACTTCCACCTAGCAAAACTAGGGTCATTGGTTCAAATCCCAACCACGGCACCCCCTGCCTGGAGTTTGCATGTTCTCCCCGTTACTTGCGTGGGTTTCCTTCCACACTCTAAAGACATGCTGGTAGGTTAATTGGATCCTGTCTAAATTGGCCCTATTATGTGTATGTATGAATGTGAGTTAGGGACCTTAGATTGCACACTCCTTGAGGGCAGGAACTGATGTGAATGTACAATATATATGTAAAGCACTGTGTAAATTGATGGCGCTATATAAGTACCTGTAATAAATTTTGCCTTAACTTGACTGGGTGTTTTACAAGCTAGTGAACCCAGACCATTGTAAGTAAGGCTGGACATACATTATAGAGTTTTCTTTAGATTTACCAAAACCATATATTATGGGGTCAAACCTAAACACTTTCAATTTGTATGCAATCAGACAGGCCCTTGCACTACAGAGTTGAATGTGAACCTAAAGGACATTAAACGAGAAAATGTTATATTGTATGGCCAGCTTTAGGCCATCTTTGGGCCCAATCATACTTCAGCATTAGAAAGTATATGCATTTTTCCATGTTTGTTTTTATGTGTATGTATCATATATTGTGAGTGATTTTTTTCATCCCTCAGGAATATCATTAGATGGAAATTAAACCAAAAATGTCACAAGCAAGGTTTCATAAAAATGTTCCATACAAAACTGAGCAATTGAAAATAATGAAATCAGGCCGCCTGTATACTTTAGTGCAGATTAAGGTGCAGAAGTGCAAATAGGCCCAAAGCACAGGAAGTCAGGCAGACTGAACAATTGTTTTCTATAATCATGAGAACATATCGGTCAGGCATGCATTTTGAATAAATGTTCTGTTTTCTAGAACAAAGGAGAGATCTGTGATGTTATAATATCACAGGAATACAGAGTGCTGTATTAAGGCTGCTGTCAATTTGCTCCATACCTCATAAGGCTACTTTTCTTTGTAGCATTTTAAACAGTTCACTGATATATTGTTTGCAGTTCCATCACTGTTTTCCCAGGTTACACTAATCTAACACACAATACCAATGACTAAATATTTAACCATTTCAATACCGGGCAATTTTACACCTTCCTGCCCAGGCCATTTTTCAGGTTTCAGCGCTCTCACACTTTGAATGACAATTGCGCGGTCATACAACATTGTACCCAAACTAAAATTTTAACATTTTCTTCACACAACTAGAGCTTTCTTTTGGTGGTATTTAATCACCGCTGGGGTTTTTATTTTTTGCTAAATTAACAAAAAAAGACAAAACATTTTGAAATAAAAAAAACACGTTTTTCTTTGTTTTTGTTATAAAAGTTTACAAATAAATAATTGTTCTTCATAAATTTAGGCCGAGATGTATTCTGCTACATGTCTTTGGTGAAAATAACCCAAATTAGGATGTATTTTGTAGTTTGTAGGAAAGTTATAGAGTTCACAAATTATGGTATAGATCTGAAAATTGATCAATCCTGAAGTACTGACAGCCAATCTAATTTCTTGAGGTCCAAGAATGTCAGAACAGTACAGATATCCCCCAAATGACCCCTTTTTGTAAAGTAGACAGTCCGACGTATTTCATAAGAGGAATGGCGAGTGTTTTGAAGTTGTATTTTTTTGTCATTATTTTTCGGAAAATTAAAAAAATTATTTTCACTATTTTTTTTTTACATACTGTCACCAGTGCAGTACAGCATCATCATATAACTGGCATGGCGGTGAACAGGGACACTGACTGGTGACAGTATGAAAAAAAATATATATATTTTTTTTTTTCTATTATTTTAAATTTTTTATTACATTTTTTTTTTTTTTATTTTTTTTTCATATTTTACTATGACCAAAGTAGTACAATGTTACCATAGTAACATTGTACTACTTTGGGGAAGTGATCAGTATTTTTTTTTTTTACACAATTTGCTTATAGCAAAGAATTACTTTGCTATAAGCAGGCATTTACCTGAATGACATCGATTCATTCAGGTTTTTATTTTTTTTTTTTTTGTGCTTAGCTGTGATTTGGCCACAGCTAATCACATGACATGTGCATGTGACCTGCTGTGACCATTCACAGCTAGACACTAGTATACAATGGATGGCATGAATGAAGCCATCCATTGTATACAACTGTCATGTGACCTTCTGTGATTGGTCACAGCAGGTCACATGGTACCGGCAACAGGGGCCAGTACTCAGATCTGTCATCGGCCGTGTCTGAGGTACACGGCCAGTGATAGATCGCGCTGCTGCGCGACTCTGCAACCACGCGAACTGCACATGTGCGGGAGGACGCCAAATGGCGTACACCCTGGAAATCGAATGCATTTTTGCGGCCGCCAAACGGCTATAGGCTGGGCGGCTAATGGTTAAAAGCTGCTTTTTTCACAAATTGTCTTATGAAGATTTACTGTATAAACACTTTATGGATTTTGAAAAACATCCATGACGTGCAAAAAAAAAAAAACCCAGTGGTGATTAAATATCACCAAAAGAAATCTCTATCTGTCTCAAAAAAATTATAAAAATTTCATATGGGTACAGTGTTGCATGACAGCGCAATTGTCATTCAAAGTGCGACAGCGATGAAAGCTGAAAATTGGCCTGTGCAGGAAGGGGGTGAAAGTGCCCGGTAGGCACGTGGTTACGAGATAGAGACCAGGAAAGAGCTCACATTTGCACTGAAATCAGTTCAGCCAGAACCAGCAACAAACTATCACATAGCAGACTGAAAGCCCAATCAACTGCAGCTGTGGAATTTCCCACCCTACAGTCACACATAAAAAAGGGGCAGGGATGCTGGTGACATCATTGACCTAATATGGCCACTTATGGTCAAAAGTCTGTTCTTGTACCATAATCACACAGGTACTTATTAATGACACACTGCTGTTGGTCCAGCTTCTGCAGCATGGCCAACATTGAACTTCATAATGTGGGTGTGTTACAGATGAGGTGGTTGGCTTGCAGCTAACGTTGGCACTGCATTTCTGCAAGGTGGACTATGGCACGGTGTGACCAGCCACAAACCATTCTGGCCTGAAGAAGGACCTCATGGAAGGCAGGGTACTTTGCAATAAACAGCTGCACAACCAGGTTCAGAAAATGTGCGGGTTAAGGTACATTCTTCCCAGGTGAAGGGCGACCACCAGATTAGCTCAATTGTCACA